GCAAGTCTGAAGCCCTCTTCGTTTCATTTCACCATGCCTCTCAGGGACAGAAGGTGTCTGCCTCAACTATATGCAGGTAGATTAGGGCTTGCATTGCGGAGGCGTACCAGTCGCTTTCCCTGTCAGTCCCAAGTCGTGGCATGGCACATTCCACTCGCAGTGCTGCGACCTCCGCAGCGTGGGCCACACAAGCATCCATCGAGGAGGTCTGTAAGGCAGCGACGTGGTCTTCGCCTTCCCCATTTGTTAGGCATTATAAGCTAGACCGGTTTGCATCTACGGATGCCTCCTTTGGATGGAGGGTCCTTCAGCAGGGACGTGAGTCCGGCCTTGACTGCTCCCCTCCCATTGGGACAGTAGGGCTTTGGTATGTCTCATTGGTGGATTCTCCATCTCCTGTCCTGGAGAAGGGGCGTTGTCTTACCTGAACGCCTTTTCTCAGCACGGAGATGGAGAATCCACTCCCGCCCCTTAGGGTCCATCAGGCCAGCGTTAGGGGTCTGGGAGCCATCACGTTGGACTGTCGTCAGTTGCTTTCGCCCTCGTCAAGACTGGGTGTGTCCTAACACAGGAGGGGCATGGCAGGTTTGGCTGACTTGGCCTAATGGGCACGAAGATAGAGCTAACCCATTGGTGGATTCTCCATCTCCGTGCTGAGAAAAGGTGTTCAGGTAAGACAACGCCCCTTCTCATATTGGCCTTGGGCAAAGCCCCCAACTTTCTTCTTCCTTTATTCAGTTTGCAACAAGGGGGGGGGGCAGAAGAAGACAATTTGCATCTTGGATGTGTGTGTGTCCTTGATGATCTCTAAGCTTGCTTGTTTTCTTGCACCTTGCTTTTTTTCTTCTTTCAGCTTTCTGTCTCCATTTGCTTTGTATTGGGAGAGATTGAATAAAACAGCCTTTTATTGCTGGGGAGCTTACTGGGGAGCTATCTGTAGTCAGAAAGGAGCCTCCTGCTTTTCCATAGCTTGCTGGGCAACCATTCTGTTAATATGAGGGCATGTTACCATTCAACCACAAATATCTTCACCTGCAATTTAAATGAAACCTAATTGTCAGCTATTTAACTGCTGTTACTAAAGAAAGCAATAATCAGGGCATATAGTCATCTTCATTTAAACCCAATTAAGCCATCAGTTTGTGCCTTTCCATCAAGATACAGTAGCATGGTTGTGGTAATGCCCAATGTGCAGGCAGAATGCTTTCTAGCAGAAGATTGTTATATGTAATAACAAAATTAGCAGATGCTCATCTGTAGCAATTTATTTTGCAACCAAGCTTGCAATTATTTTTTCCAGACTCTTAAAATTGTGGCAAGGGTTCTAGGCTCGTTATCTGTTATCTGTTTGGTTGTTGGCTTTGTTCTCTTGGGAGGTGATAGGAGCTGAAGTCCACCTTGGAGGTACCTGGTTGGAGCAAGCGCTTGTTGAACTTCTCAAATGGCATAAATCTGAAGAGAGAATCAAGGTGATGGCATAAATCTGAAGAGAGAATCAAGGCATTATCAAATACGCAGATGGTATCTCACTCTTTTTACATGTACTTGCCCTGCAGCCTTATCTCCTCGTTGAGGATTCACATCCTCCTCCCTCCCTTGTAGATATGTTTCCCAAACTCCTAGAAAATTGATGGTTAATACTACTCCCACAAGTAAGAAGGCTCAAGAACCCAAGATTGCACATGGACTTTCTATGATGGTAGCAGATGTTTCACTGATTCAGAAATGGTTACTTCTGGTGCAGCTTAATTAAATGAAATCCCGATGAGCCCAAGGCATATAGCAAATGAAATCACACAGTTCAAGGATAATGGCCCATTGGGATGCAATTAATCTCAAGGTTGTTTTGGTGCTGAGCTCTAGCAGTCACATGGGATATAAAGGGATGTAGTGTTGCACAAAAGGTTAGTTAAATATAGAGTAGCCAGATGAAGTGTCCCCAAGGCCTTGACTGTTAGTGGCTTTCCATGATCCTGGGTAATTTTTCAAGACCTACCTAAAAATATTGGGATTTAGTACTTTCCTCCTGCAAAGCTGGTTCTTCAGGATCTCCTTGAAGCTACCGAGCCAATGAAGACAGACTTAAGGCTTAAGAACAATTCAAGTACCATATGAACCTTTTTGAGCTGGTGCTTTCCATGTGATAACAACATCCATCATCATCCCTCAGCAGTAAGAGAAAAAGCAGTCAGGATGCTTTAAACTAGGAATTCAACAAGCAAGCCATAAGCCATAACAATTAAGTTTGCATTTCATATTGAGCCAAAATCAGAAAAGCTGTATTGCACATTAAGCAGACAGATGGGTTAGAGGGAAGATCCTTCAATGAGACAAAGTCTTTTGTTAGATGCAGCACCTTAGAAACATCACCCACTAGTGCTGATCCATTGCCTTGTTCTGATAGTGTATATCATAGGATTTATTTATATGTGCAACTGCCAGTTTTCAAACCATGAGAAATCAAGTTATGCATTTAACATTTACTCTCAGTTGCAGAGTTAACAAACCAACTGTTATCTGGACATGCTAATATTGTATTACTTCCTGAATCTCACATTTCCTTTGTGCCCAATCTGCAATGTTAGATATCTTACAACTCTAATATTGTATGTAGTAATGATTGTTTTCTGTTACTATAAGCAGAAGCAGGTCCTGGCTTGGAATTGGCATAGCATTTCATTATGATTAATTTGACCATATTCACTATTCTGGAGCCTCCTAGATGTGCTGGACGATAACTCTCACTAGACCCAATCCCCACAGAGCTACATACAATGGGAGCTGTACCCAATAGCAACAGTTGTGGAAAGCTATACTATGGCAGACCATTTTGTGGTGTCAGAGATTAATTGCCAGCTTTTTTTTACCCTGGGCCCCAGAGGTGGACTACATGAATCATGGCTGATCTCATCTCAGGGAAATGGAAGGTCCACCAAGGAAACACACTGACTCTTACTTCAAAGTGGCCTGTGTTCAGTAGGGCCGTTAAGAACCCAATTAGCCTAATCTAGAAGGAGAAGTCACCTGCAAAAATGATTTATGAGGGTTGTCAGGCTTAAACTACAGATGAGGGGAGGGGAAGCAAAAAAAAGTGTGGAGACAGGATCCCTGCTGACAGGTGTGGTTAATTTCAGAGGCTTGCAGTGAAAATGTTGGCCTGAATTCAAGGATTCTGCCTTGTTTTCAATTTCTAATTCTAGATGCATTCCTCTTTTGTCAAGATGTTCTTTCTTTGATGTTCAACTTGAGGTTTATTTCTGTCCCATCTGACATAAACTCTCAGTCCTAGAAAACACTGGGTTATGGATGGTGCTGCTGGGCCAAGCTTGACCTTGAATATCTCAGAAGCTTGCTTTTTCTGTGAAAGTGGTTTTGTTTGGTTACAAATTTATTTTCAGGATATTTGAGAATTTCTTTTCATTCCCGTTTTTGAGCTGCTTGATTATTGGGAGTGGCAGAGGATATGAATAGTGGTCAGACTAATTTGTCTTATGTTTTTTGGCTGCTTACTCTTCTCACTTTGGGAACATCTGTGAGAAGAATCCCCTCAGTTCAGAGTTTAAAATGTGTGAAACAGAGCACTCAAGAGATGATTGTTTGGTGAAATACAAGATATTCATGCACATCCTTTGATCACTTTGTGTAACTGCAGGGAGGCCCTGCTCTACTGATGAGAATTGTACTTAATTTATCCTGATGGGAGGGTTGTCAGTGAAGTCCATCTAGATCAGAGGTGGGGAACTATAGCCCCTTTATGACTTATGGACATTAACTCCCAGAATTCCTGAGCCAGGAGGGATCTAGACCATCATTTCTCAACTTTGGCAACTTTAAGACGTGTGGACTTCAACTCACAAAATTCCCTAGTTGCCAAGGTTGAGAAACACTGATCTAGACCAGAGGTCCTTAACCTTTTGGGCACCAGGGACCGGTTCCGTGGAGAGAGGTTTTTCTGAGGACCGAAGGGGGCGTGGTTTTGTGTACTGCCTGCATCCCGTGGATGGGGCTTTGCTTGTTTGTGCGGACAGGTTGCTGGCATGCCGCGGCCTAGTACTGGTCCACGGACTGGGGGTTGGGGACCCTTGATCTAAACCTCAGTGTCCTCTTTGTTCAAATCAACCCTCCCATCTCCTTCTAAAAATTATAACTCGCCATACAATCCTTGGGTTGTCAATTCAAGTGATTGCTATGATTTAAAGCAGCAGTCCCCAACCTTTTTTGGCACCAGGGACCAGTTTTGTGGAAGACAAATTTCTCCATGGACCTGGGGTGGTGGAGGAGGAGCGTGCAATCTAGATCCCACCCATGTGCAGTTTCACTCAATTGAGGCTCACCTCCATCTCTGAGGTCCAGTTCCTAACAGGCTGATTGACTGGTACTGGTCCATGGTCCAGGGGTTGGGGACTTCTAGCTTAAAGCAGAGGTGCCCAAAAGTTGAGGACCCCTGGCTTAAAGGATGAGAGCCGCCACTCACAGTTCTTGCTTTTCCAAATAGGGTCAGAAAAACAGTGGTTTAGAACCATGGAGAGAGATTGCCAATGAATGACACCCATCCTGAGAACCTTCTAATATTCCTAAAATAAGTCTCTTTGGATTCAAGCTTCTGGGGACATACCCATATTTACCACTTTGGGGACAATTGCCTTCTTTTGCTGCTCTTGCAAATTGAAGCATTGACCCATTTGTGGTATTTCCACTGGTGCAATTTGCCAGTACAAACCCCCTTTTCTTTGCCTTGTGATGAACCCTAATAAATCCCCCTGCTTTGGAATATATTTCTTTGACAGCAACCAATGATTCATGCCAACATCTCTGTTGGTTGTGACTAATAGCCCATAGGGTTTCTTATTAATTCTGTGTTAGACTTTGCCGGTTTCTTATTCTGTGCAATGCTGTGCAATGAAGAACTCTTTGTATGCCTTTATGGTCTCTTGTAGGTTGCAGCCCTGGAGAGACAGATATTTGACTTCCTGGGTTATCAGTGGTTGCCGATCCTGGCCAATTTTTTACACATTATGGCCGTCATTCTGGGTGTCTTTGGCACCCTTCAGTACAGATCCAGATACCTCATGCTGGTAGGTATTATGTCCTGCTCTGTGATTTTTTTGCTTATTTTTTCAAAATAGTGAAATGTGTTGGATTGTTGCTTTGTGTATTAAATCTGTTGTATTGCCACAGCCAGTTTCTTAGCACCATGAATGCATAAAACTAGATTTCCAATCAGATACATTTCATTGAAAATTAAAATAATTAAAGCTCCCTTTTTATGACCCTGTAATCAGTGGCTCAGCGGTTAAAGATGTTGAGCTGGAAGTTGACAGCCTGGGTTTGAGACCCGAACTCCATACAACGGGTGAGCTCTCGTTACTTGTCCCAGCTCCTACCCACTTAGCGGCTGGAAAGCATGCAAATGCAAGGTGATTAATGGAGACCACTTTGGTGGGAAGGTAACAGTGTACCATGTGCCTTTGTTGTATAGCCACATGACCATGGAAAATGTCTTCAGACAAATCTGGCTCCTTCAGCCAAGAAATGGAGATGAGTACCGTACTGTAGAGTCGGACATGACTGATAAAGAAACCTTTACCTTTAGCCCCTATTCACAATAGAGTTGGGGTGAGTGGATGGAGCTGAGCATTTACTGGCCAGATGCCCTTCATAATGCCTATGTAGAGTTCGCAGCAGATATTTTTTCTTTGCCCCCTAGGAGAGAAACATCTGCTGCTACCTAGGATTGAACTCTCAACCTTCCGAGTGGGAGGCGAGTGTCATCATCACTAGGCCACCACGGCGCTCTAATCAAAATTAAAATAACTGATGTTAAAAACCTGAATAAACTGTGGGTTTTTAGAGCCCTGTCAAGAGTGATTTGATGATTAGTTGTAATACGTACTATGTATAAGATAGAAACCTAATGTGGGACAATAGCATCTATAACTGTAACATAGAGTGCAGAATGATTGGGCATCTTGCAATATTGTGTTAATCATAAAGCTGCCCAGAGTCACCTTGTGGCAAGATCGGTAGTGAATAAATTTAATAAATAAATAAAATAACAAAGTAATGCCCAAAGCCTCTCTGATTTTGGCAGTTAGGCTTTAATGTTTAAGAAGGTCAACTTGTTTTAGGAATCTTCCTTCAGATTGTTAAGTTCAAGTCTTCAATGTGTATTGTGTTTCTGCAGCTGGATGTGTTTAGGGGTAAGAACAATGGAGAACAAGCATATATCTCCAGTTGTTTTAGTAGTTTTTCCCATTGTACAGCTTCAACCTGCCTCTTTCTCTCCTTCACTAGTATGCTGTGTGGCTCGTAGTCTGGGTTGGCTGGAATGCATTCATCATCTGTTTCTACCTGGAAGTTGGACACCTTTCACAGGTAATTACCTCTCTAATCACACCCAGAACTTGCCCTTCTCACGCCATCAGTCCACCCAACAGCTTTCCATCCATCACCTTTCCAGCAGCAATTGCTCCTTGGGAAAGAGATTAGAATTCAGGAGAAGATCGCAGGTTGTAAATGCTTCCAGGTTCCTTTCAAATTAACTCTCCTCCCCCCCCATCCCAACCCCAGCAACTTCTTCCAGTGCTGACATTGTAGGTCAGATTTGGCACAATACTGGGAGGCCACTGGGAGACTTGCTGTGTTGCTCTGTATAATAAATAAATGAGGGCTTGGCCTCTCCAGGTGTTCAGGCTGTGTGCTCGCTCTCTCCCCCCCTTCTCTCGCTGAGGCCTTTCTCTTTTATGGCCTGCACAGGTTTTGCAAGTAAAGACAAAGCTCTGTTTGAAATGCAGTGCTCACATAGCACTTTGGCAGAAACAGTTCTGTTTTGTAAACAGATGGGTTGATCCACAAGGGAAGATGGGGGCTGGGAGGGAAAGAAGACAAATCAGGCTGTGTTTATACTGGAGTAGTATAAATGCATTGGGAGTGTGCGTGTCTCATACTGCTCACCAATTAAATCAGGAGATAATCATTGTGAATTCAAAACACACTTTTATCAGGATTATAGATTCCTGGATCTCGTATGTCATTTTGGGAAAGGCATTGCTGTCTGTTTGTGGTGGACAAGGGAGAATGCCTCTTCTAATAACTACTCCATTGTTTCTGTCAGGTGCAAATAACTAAGAGCATTTGTTGAGTTTGAAGCACAGAACAGTTACCTATTTACAAGAATCTAGTCAACTAATGGTCAAAGCTAAGTTGGTGCTAGATAAGTGTCAATGGAATTCATGGGGGAAGGAGATAGACTTGGGTCTCTTGTGGCAATGCAATGACTCCAAACTGATGACACATTTAACTCTGCCTTCCAATTCAGCCTGCTCTTCTACAGTTTCTCAACCTTAGCAACTTTAAGATACATGGACTTCAGCTCCCAGAATTCCCTAGCCAACATGGCTGGCTAGGGAATTCTGGGAAATGAAGTCTACACATCTTAAAATTGTCAAGGTTGAGAAACAGTTTTATTCCAAGCACATTGTTTATTTTTCTAGCATTGTTATTGTCATCGTCATCATTATTATTTAAACAAAGACTATGCCATCTAATTCTGTGGAACAGTTTATAAGAACCAGAAATTTTGAAGTCCAATGTATATTGAACCAAATTCAGGGCTAGAACAGTATATCCAGTCATTTCTCATGTCTGAGGCTGACACAACAATCTCGTTAATGTCTTTTAAAGTTTGAATTAGGGGTGAATGAGAAGTATGAATGCAGAGTTTCCAGGTCCTACTTCTCAAACCCATAAGCAAACCAGAATGCAGATATCTGGGGTTTTTTCTCTTTTATGGTGGCATGGGAAAAGATGAGCATATGTTAATTTCAAGGAGGAAAGTATTTGCAAGAATGCCTCACGGTAAGGAAAAATTGTGTGATAATTTTCTCCAACACCAAAGTTGAAAAGCGTCAATGCTCTTTCCATCTTTCTTTGTTAAAGTCCAACTTTTGCTTGCCTGGAATGCCACAGAAAATATCCCGTGGCTTGCACAACTGTGATCTTGTAGGTGCTAGAATATATCTTCCAAGGCCTTCCTGGCTGCTTAGCGAAAAAGAGTGCAAATAAAGTAAGGCAAGCTTTCAGAAAGAATATGCATCTAAAACAGCGTGCACAAACACACACACACACACACACACACACACACACACACACAGAGGTCTCCCCAAAGTCCCTCCATGCCAACCTGGAAAAAGAATCCCTTAACCAATTCTGTGAAGTCATAAGGACAATGCCGCCCCCATCCCTCAAAATAAATGTGAATCCTTTCCAGGTGTAAATAGACTAGACTATTATGCAAATAATCTCCTTTAGATTCAAAAGGAGAGACTAAATCCCTTCGCAGAATTTTTTTCTTTTTTAGCTAAACATATTGATCAGAGGCAGTCAGGCTGGAAGGGAGCCCCAAAGTGGCCTTTGCTGACTCTGTGTTTTCTTGTGTCTGATAGATGGAGGGCAGGGAATAGTGGTGGAATTATAAGATAGCTGGGTTCTAATTTATCTAATTTGTCACCTGATCATTCTCCAAAAAGTAAGAATGTGGATGCATTGTATGCACTTCCTAGTAATTGGATAAGACAACAGTTTGTTATCTTACAAGGTAGTCTACAAATTAGAGATCCTGGCTTGCACACAAGGCACTAAAACTGACCAGTACTGTTGTGGTATGGGTAGGGGTAAGGCTGCTTATGCAGTCTACTCATTTATTATCTTATTGAAAAGTATTATGTGAAAATCTTGATTGACTTAAGCTATGATGTGCAACAAATGTCAATATTTATAAGCTCATTAAGTCAGTGGTCTCTGCAAAGTTCAAAATTGGCAGATAGTGGATCGAGTATCACAATGCATACTGTGTTCTTTTGGTTTGTACTGTGATGTTCTGCCCATCATCTTTCCAATTTTAACACTCCATCACACTGGATATCATTGCTTCTGATGACTGTTTTTCTTTTCTTTGCATGGCATTGCTTACCTCAAAGGGATTATGAGTATGTATATATTCTCCATCTTTGTAGCGGTCCAAACATCACTGTTGAATTCATCTTTCTCCCATTTCTGTAGGATCGAGACTTCATCATGACCTTTAACACATCACTGCATCGCTCATGGTGGATGGAGAATGGTCCTGGTTGCCTGGTGACCCCAGTGATCAACTCCAACCTAGCCTTAGAAGACCATCATGTCATCACAGTAACTGGATGTTTGCTTGATTATCAATATATTGAGGTGGTGAGCAGTGCAATGCAGATATTCCTTGCGGTAAGTAAGTGGCATCAGTAGCTCTTCTTGGATGGTTTGGCCTCTCCATTACTTCTAAAAATAAACAAAACAAAACTGAGGCAGTAAAGATTCTACTGTCAGTTTTTGCTGCAGAATTCATACCCATTTGAACAACAAAAAAACCCCCCTTTGCTCCCATTTGATCTACAAAGTATACACAGTATCTATCAAATATGGACATCGGATTCACCTCCCTTTGTGCTCTTCAGGCTTTCTACCATTTTTTAAAATTAAAAAAGCAGATATTTTCATTTTAAAAAGTTAAATGGGAAGCTGACATTTTGTATCTCCAATATCCCTCTGTCAGTCATAACCTTCCCCCTGAAGTTTACCTTGGCCCTTACCCTCCTAGGTTTTTGAAACACTATTAAAACTGACATTTCCAGCATGGCTTTGGGACCAGAAATGCGCTATTGGATCTCTTCTCTGGTGTTTAATGTTGTCTAGGAGTCCTGTTAGCACTGCCTAGGGTATTTTGGTATACATTTCTTGGGCATGTGTTTTTAATCAGAATACTGCATTGGGTACATATGCTGCTCAGAGTCAGTGGCATATTAAGCTGAAGGAAGTGAAGGAGGGAGGGAGGAAAAAGTGCTTCTCCACCTTCAATGGATTGAATTAAAAGACTGATGTCAGCCTTCTCAGGTGGACCCGACAGAGAATACAGCCAGATGAGCTAATTCTACTTAAGTGTCAGACTAAAGGTAAAGGTTTCCATGTCAGTCATGACTGACTGTAGGGCAGGGTGCTCATCTCCATTTCTTGGCTGAGGGAGCCAGCATTGTCCTAAGACAATTTCTGTGGTCACATAGCCAGCATGGCTATATGTCAAAGGCACACAGAACGCTGTTACCTTCCCACCGAAGTGTTACCTATTTATCTACTCGCATTTACATGCTTTCGAACTGCTAGGTGGGCAGGAGCTGAGGCAAGTAACGGGAGCTGAGGCAAGTAATGGGAGTCGTCTGGTGCTTGGGTCTCGAACCTGGGCTGTCAGCTCTCCAGCTGACAAGCTCGGTGTCTTTAACCGCTGAATCATCGCTCATCAACATTAACAGAATCTTGCAAGTCTGAAAGTACAAACCTTCCGAGCCTGATCACTTAGGGAGGCTTTCCTTCTGAACCTTTCTCCACCCACAGGGCAGCTGTGGCTTTGCAGTCTCTTATTTGATCGTTCCCTTAGGCAGCATCTCTTTTCCACATCTCCCAAGGTCATTCGCATATACCATCATAGATGGAGCACTGATGATTCTCAGCAGCTCCAGTCAACATGGCTACTGGTGATGGATGATAGGAGCTGTGTTTCAGAAAGCTTCTTGTGGGCACAAGTCCCCCTCCCCTGCATAAAACTGTATGGTTTCGCCAGTGTACAAACCATACAGCCTGTAATATTACATGTCATGTGAACATAGCAATTGTGCTGTGTTAAGCAGGTTTAAGGATTACTTTGTTAAATGAAGCCCAATGACAAAGATTAGTCAGAACTGCTTCCTGGTAAAACTCTAAAAATTTTCAAGTTCTGAACATCCTTTTCTCTTTCCCTTTGCAACTTTGCAACTTTGCCTTTAACTTTTTTTATTCCGAGGGCAATAAGTGGTTATGTTGAGCTTCACAGTTGGCTTACTTTTTTGAGAGTTTTAAATTAGTCAGCCCACCTCACCCATTTGGTCTTGCTCGTGTTTCAAATTTTGTATCTAAAGAACCAGCATGGTCAAAAGTAGTTTGAGACAGCAGCGGAGATATAAACGGAAGAAATAAACTTGGCTGCCTGAACTTTTCTCTCATCGGTTTAAATGGTTGAATCCTAGTGTGATAATAATTGGTGCATTTCTTTGCTTTCAAACAATTAATTCATGTTTCTCTCTTTTTCAAAACACATATTTTGAAGCTATTCGGATTTGTTTACGCCTGCTATGTCAGCAAAATGTTTATGGAGGAGGAAGACAGTTGTAAGTATCCAGTTATCACACTGAATAAGTAGGAGTATTGTCCCTGCTTGAAATATTAGGGTGATGCAGAAGTGGCTTGTCACTGGGGCTGCCAAATTTTTAAGAATTCGGTCAGGCATGAGAAGACAGCAAATAATTTTTTCATATTCCAGTTTCTGCTGCTTAAAGGTTGTCCTTCTTTCTCTCTCTCTTTTTTCCCTTTCTTATTATGTGTTTATATAAGTTTATGTGGATCTTAATAGAGGTAGTCCTTGACTTACAACAGTTCATTTAGTGACTGTTCCAAGTTACAATGGCACTGAAAAAAGTGACTTATATGACTGTTTTTCACACTTACAAACATTGCAGCATCCCCATGGTCATGTGATTCAAATTCGGACGCTTGGCAATTGACTCATATTTATGATGGTTGCAGTGTCTTGGGGTCACATGATCCCCTTTTGCGACCTTCTGATGAACAAAGTCAATAGGGAAGCCAGATTCACTTAACAACCCTGCCTGAGCTGGCCGACGTAATAGCCGGGGTGGCGGTTGCGACCCCCAGACTTATGGTCATGGGGGATTTCAACCTGCCATCGGTGGGCGAGGCGTCGGCGGCAGCTCAGGAGTTCTTGGCTTCCATGACGGCCTTGGACTTGACCCAGTTGGTACATGCCCCCACTCACACGGGGGGGACACACACTAGATCTAATTTTTATCTCTGGCCAGTGGCAGAATGATCTGGAAATGGGGGAGGTAGTTATTGAGCCCCTGTCATGGTCAGATCATTCACTCCTGAAGCTGGATTTCCGGACCGCTCCCCCCCGCCGCAGGGAGACGGAACCACAAAGATGGTTCC